AATATATATATATATATATATATATATATATATATATATATATATATATATTTATCTTTTTATATATTTATATATATACAGATATGGCTTAAGGAAAAGGAAGATTAATACATAGTGATGGTGATGTATTTATAGGAAGATGGAGAGAAGATAAAGCTAATGGAAAAGGAAAATATTTACACACAGATGGTGCAGTATATTAAGGAGACTGGTAAGATGATAAATAACATGGGAAAGGAGTAGAAGAATGGCCTGATGGTGCTAGATATGAAGGAGATTATTTTGAAGGAAAAAACATGGATGTGGAAGATTCAATTGGTCTGATGGTTCTACTTATTATGGAGAGTTTATTAAAAATAATATTCATGGAAAGGGAACTTATGATTGGGCAGATGGCAGAAAATATGAAGGATAATGGAAAAACAATAAAATGGAAGGTTAAGGAATTTTTTCTTGGAGTGACGGTAGAAAATATGAAGGCGAATATAAAGATGATAAAAAACATGGATATGGAGTATTCTAATGGCCAGATGGTATATTATATTTTAATATTTTTATTTAAAATTATATATAAAAAAAGGAAGAATTTATAAAGGTTAATGGGCTAATGGAAGATAACATGGAAGGGGTATATATATTGGATCTTAAGGAACTGAAAAAGAAGGAGAATGGGTAGATGGAAAAAGAACAAAATGGTACTTGATATATATTAGAATTAATAAAATTATATAAATAATTAATATAAATTAAATATATATATATATATATATAATTATATATATATATATATATATATATATATATATTAAATATTTATTTATTATTAGGTATAAAAAAAATGGTGAAGAAGAAGTTGATGAAGCATAATGAAATTTAAAATTATACATTATACTATATTTTATATATAATTTTTTTTTATTATTATTAATAAATATTTTTATAAATACTAAAATTACTTTTTCAAAATAATCTTTTTATATAATAAATTTTTTTTTATTTTTATGTTTAAATTTTAAAAATATTATAAATATTCTTATTTTTTTATTTTATTTTAAAATTAAAAGATTTTGAATAAAATAATAATTAAATTTTAAATTATCAAATTTATATAAAAAATATTTATAAATATTCTAATTATATATGCTATATATATACATATATATAATTAAGCTTATACTTTTTTTATATTTTTTTATATTTATTTATTTTTGATTCATTATTTTTTTTATATAAATTATCTCTTTATTATTTTAATATTAATTTTAATAAAAACACAATTTTATTAAATAAAAATAATTTAAATATTCTTTTATAATATAATTATATAGATAAAAAAAATATATAAAAAATGAATTGTTTTTATTGCAAAAATTTATATAATGAAATAGAAAGATTACCTAGGCTTTTAATAAATTGTGGTCATTCACTATGTGAAAAATGTCTAGAAGAAATTTATAAAGATTAATGTTTAATATGTCCTGAGTGCGGAATAAAAAACAAAGCAGAATTAATTAATTGCTTTCCAAGAAATTTAGCACTTATTAATTATAACAAGTTATCAGCTAATGTCAATGCTGCTTGTATTAATTAAATAATAAATAATTTTAATTATATAGACAAATAAAAAAATATAAATAATGAGAAATTATGTATAATAAACAATGTTGAAATATGTATAAAGCATTGTAAAAAGTTTGAAGGTTTAAATAAAAAATTAATAAATATTTGTAATTAAAAATATAAATTTTAAAATAAAATATAGCATTTTGTGAGGTAGATAAATAATTATTATGTATTTCTTGTATTTTAGAAGATGGACATAGATAACATTAAATAGATTCAATAAGCAATTCAGTTTAAAAATAAAAATAAGAAATTCAAAAAATATATATAAATAGTAAATAAAAAGAAAAAAAATATTTGATTTGATTTAATAAAATAAAAAAAATTTGATTGATTTATAAGAAAAAGTAATAAATTATTAATAAAATTTAAAAATAAATTTTATGTTAATTATATAAATAAAAATATTTATAATATATATTTATATCTATATATTTATATGTATATATATATATTGTATATATTAGGCATAATAATAAGAAATATAAGCTTTAACTTTTTTTAATGATATCAGATTAAAATTAGAATAAGAATAAAAATAATTAAATTATAAAATTCAATAGGAACTTTTAATTTAATAAGATAGAATTTATAATTTTGATTACTAATTAAAAAAATTTATTGAATCTTTAAATTATTTTGAAAATAATTATACATAATTAAATAACCTTAATGATATATAGTATTTATCTTAAAATTTATAAGAAATCCTTTAATTAATGTAACCATTATAATCTATTGAGAACTTTTAATTTTAATAGTTTAATTTAATATTTAGTAAGGAAACTAAAATAAATATTATATAAAAATTAATATAAAATATCAGTGTAGATTTAAAAAATTAAATTAATAAAAAAAATACTAATATTAACTAATAAAAACAAACAAATAATAAATAAAGTAATACAAAATAATATAAATAAAAAATATAATAAAAGCAATAGTTATAAAAATAATAATAATAATAATAATAATAATAATAATAATAATTATAATAATTATAATCATTTTAATAATAATAATTATAAACTTAATTATAGTAAAAAAAAAAAGTAAAAAAATAAGTTAAATAAACTTTTACTTTAAAGTGCATTTTTTTTTAAAAAAAAAAAATTCTTATTTCTTATTTTATTATTTAAAAAAAGTTTTAAAAATAAATGCTTAAATACTATAAATAATAAAGAATCAAATTAAATTTAAATAAAAGAATAAACCGACTAATCAAATCTTATTGAAGATGTTTTTTACTAAAATATAAATTAAACTAACAAAATTGCTAAAAATAAATGCGGAACAAACCACATTTCTATGAATGAAAATAAGTAATAACCATACATATTTTTTTATTTAATAATAATTAAAATTAGTGATTCAAACGATGCATCTTCTTTAAATTTAATAAAAAATCAAGCTATAATAAATTTAAGTATATTTATTATTTTTTAAAATAATTAATTTTAATAAAGGTTAATTAGGAATAAAAACTGATATAATTAATTATCATGAATAAAGAAATTTAATTAAAGAAAAAATGCAATTAAACTTTTTTGTTAGTGAAAATCAAGAATAAAATATAAAAAAATTCTAAAATAATGATAATTTATAAAAATCTTAAAGAAAATTATAAATAATATAAAATAAAGAAAATACTGATTCTTTTTAAAATTTAAAAAAAATTCTTCTTTTAATTCAATATCCCCAATCAAATAAAATGCAATGTAAAATATCTAAAATAATATTTAAAAATATATATATTCTAAAAAAAGTTATTATAGGCATTAAGTTAGCTAATAGAATTATTATTATTCAAATGAAGAAAATAATTTAATATAAAAAAATAAAAAACAGAAAACATAGAAGAATAAAGTCCTTAATTTTTTGGAAATTAATAGTCCACCAAAAATAAAAACATTGAAAACAATAGCATATAGAAAACAAATAGAACTGATTATACAGAAACATATATAAATAAAGTATACATATATAAAATTGTAAATAATATATATAATTAAATAAGTGTGATTTTTCATTAATTACGTCTTCATAATAAAACAATTATATTTATATATTTGGAGGCTTTGCATATGAATATAAAAGTACTATAGAAAGATATAACATATAAAATAATAAATGGGAAACTTTAAAAAATATTAATTTGAAAAAAACTAAATTCGGATTAGTTTAATTAACAAACGGAAATATTTTAATATTAGGAGGAAAGCATGTAAATTAGAAAGAAAAATAAAAATTAAATGTATTTTTATATAAATATTTATAGGAAAATAATAAATTATAAACATGTGAGGAATTTAATCCTAAAACAAATTAAATTTATTAAAGTTATTTATATTTATTGACTAAAAAAACAGGATTTGGAGTTATTAATATAGGAAATAGTATAATTTTTGTTTTTTCTTTAATATCTATAATAAATATATTAAAATTATAAAAAATAGACAATATATATGTTTTTGGAGGAAAAAATACTTACGAAATAGAAAATAATTTAGAAGTTTATGATTATGATAATTATGTTAATTAAAATTTATAAACTATGTTTGAAAAAAGATGCGATTTTGGGTATACATTAGGAAAAGATAATAAAATATATGCAGTAGGAGGTTTCGGAGGATAATATAATTAATGTTTAAATAGTGCTGAAAGGTATGATATAAAAAAAAATTCTTGGGAATTAATTCCTTTTATGAAATAAGCCAGAAGAGAATGTGTTATGGTAACTTTACAAAATGGAATTTATGTAATAGGAGGATTTGATGGTAGTATTTACTTAAACAATATTGAAAAATTTAATGATTAAAATAATTAATGGCAATAAATAAGTTGTATTAATTAAAGAAGATGCTCTTTTAGTGCTGTAGTAACTAATGATTAAAAAAGCATAATTATTTTTGGAGGTTTTAATAATAATCCATTAGATAGTGTAGAAATGTATTAATAAATATAAAAATAATATAAAAAATTTATAAATAAAATATTATAATATATATATATATATAAATATATATTGTAATAGATTTATATATATTTAATATTTAATATTTAATATTTAATATTTAATATTTAATATTTAATATTTAATATTTAATATTTAATATTTAATATTTAATATTTAATATTTAATATTTAATATTTAATATTTAATATTTTATAAATTTAATTTTTTTTATTTTTTAATTTATTTATATTTTATTATGTAAGATATAATGTATATGATAATAAATGTTAGTTTTTATAAAATATGCACAATTAAAGATATATGCATAATTCTATATAAATTTAAGGTTAAAATTTAGTATGATATATATATATAATAAAAATATATATGTATTTAATTTATTACGTATAAATATATTTATACAATTTTTTTTTAAAATTATTCTTTTTATTTTTGTATTTTTTTTTATTTTTATTTTTTTAAAACTCATTTTATCTTATTATTTATATATTATATAAAATAAAAAAAAAATCATGAGTTAATTTTGGCGAATTGTATGGAAAAAATATAAAGATAAAATAAATGAAAAAGAAATAGATACTATATTTGGAAAACATACTAATATATTAAATTAAGATTTGAAGCAAATTAGAGATTAAGATTTATTATTTATTGAAAAATTTATTTATAATGAATAAAAATAAAAAACAATATTAAAAAAATTAAATTAATTATTTAATTGTATAAATAATTTAAAAGAAATTTCTTTTAAAATAAAATTAAAATTACTATATCTATGCCATATTATGATTATTTCAACTGATAGATAATTCTCTTAATATTTTTTAAAAATAAATCCTATAATATTAAGATAATCGGATAATTAAACAAATAATTATTTTGCTTAAAATAATATAAAATCTATATAAATATAAGAAAATATACTAGAAAATATTATACTAAAAGATTATTATGATTATTTAATGAGATTGTCAAATAATATTGATTTATACTTGCTATGTAACGAATAATAATAATAATAATAATAATAATAATAATAATAATAATAATAATAATAATAATAATAATAATAATATTAATATTAAACTTAATAATAATAATAATAATCATAATAATAGTAATAATAATTATTAAAACAATAAGAATATATAAATAACAAATTTAATTCAGATTTAATAAAATTTAACAAATAAGATTAAGATGATTATGATGAATATAAATAAAAAGAAAAAGAAATCGAAAATGAAAATGAAAATCTAAATTAAATCAAAAACCAAAATCAATAATAATTTGATACTGATGAATAAAAATAAATAGAATTAAATGAATAAAAACAGAAATATATAAAATATCAAATAGAAAAAAAAAGAAAAGAAAAAGAAAAAGAAATATTAAAAAATAAGAAATATATAAATAATAATTATAAGATTAATAATAAGAAGAATATTAAAATAAATGTGTAGTAATGTAGAAATAAGAATAATAATAATAATAATAATAATAATAATAATAATAATAATAATAAGAATAAGAAATAGAATAAGAATAAGAATTAGAATTAGAATAAGAATAAGAATAAGAATAAGAATAAGAATAAGAATAGAATTAGAATAAGAATAAGAATAAGAATAAGAATAAGAATAAGAATAAGAATAAGAATAAGAATAAGAATAAGAATAAGAATAAGAATAAGAATAAGAATAAGAATAAGAATAAGAAGAATAAGAAGAATAATAAGAATAAGAAGAATAAGAAGAATAATAAGAATAAGATGAATAAGAAGAATAAGAATTATAAGAATAATATGAAGAATAAGAGGAAGTAAAAGAAGAAAAATAAGAAGATTAAGAAACATTTGAAGATTAATAAGAAGAAGGCGATGATTAAGATAAAAACAAAATAGAATAATAAGATAATAAATATTTTACTGCTTTTATAGAAAACTTTTAATTCGAAATAATAATAAATTTTAAAATAAATAATTTATTGAATTTTTTAATAAAAAACTTAAAATAAACTGTAAGTATAGGTTACGAATAATAGAAATTTTCACTTATAAGATAAATAGCATAAACTATGTTTTCAGATAGTGTTATATATTATAACTATTTAGAATCTTAAGTCAATTTTTCAATATAATACTATGATTTAATGAATGAAGATGATTAAATATTAATTTATCAAATATTAAGTGAGATTAGAAGAATATATAAAATATTGATTGAATATCAAAAATATTTTAAAAATACAGTAAAGTTAAATAAAGGGATTTTAGTCGATTAAATTATTTAAAAAATAGATAGAAATTAAATGAAAATCGAGCTTAAAAAATATTAAAAAGAACTTAAAAAATAATATTATAGATAATTTAAAATGAATACCATATTTAAAAATAATGTCGTAAATTATCAAATATCTTGTCTTACAGAAAGTTAAATTAATAATTTATAATAATAGAAGTTTTAATCATTAAAAGTTATTAGGTTTGAGGATAATATTTAAGAGGACCATAAAGGAGAAAACAATGAGACTAAAATTACTTAATCTAATTGTAAAGATTATAATAATAATATAAATAAAACATATTATTTAAAATGATATGCTTATTAAAAAAAAATAAAAATATTATTTTCTTCTAAATTTTATGTTTTATTAATATGTGTTTTTTTTTTTATTTATTTAGAATAAAAATTATTAGAATATTTTTTTTAACAAAAAAAATTCAAAAATTAAACAAAAATAAAAATGTATAAAAATATTAAAATAATAATTTAGTATAACTATTTAAAAATAAACTTTTTTTAAAAAAAGACATTAATTTTTATTTAAAAAAATTAAAAATTATTGTTAAAAGTATCTTAATTACGATTTTTTAAAATTAAAATTTTTTTTATTTTTATAATTTTTAAATTAATTTTTACTTTTTATGTATTAATTTTTAAATTATTTTATTTTATTTTTTTAATCTTTTTTAACAATTTTATTTATATATATATAGAATTATATATATACTAAATCATTTACTTTTCTTTATAGTAAAATTAAATTAGATTATAATAAATATGTCAAATAAACATATAATGATATTCTTATTCTTTTATATATATAATTATATGTATTTCTTAAAAAAAACAAGAATTAAATAACATTATATTTTAAAATAACGTAACTATAAAAATTACAATTATGAATTAACGTAATATTTTTTTGTAAATAAAATATAAAGAAAAAAAAATTATATAAAAAATAAAAAAAATAAAAAAAAAAAGTATAAAAAAAAATGGGAAACTGTATTAAAATATAATAAAAACAAGTAAAGAAAGATTTAAAATATAACATTTTTAAATTTAATTAATAATTTTTGACCACAACAACAAAAAAAGCTAATTCATTTAAAAGCTTGTCTATATAATTAAATGAAGAAGAAGATTTATAAAAATAATCCTTAAAAATAATAGAAATGTTTCGACATCCGAGACTTTAAATAGATATTAACCCTTTATACTAAAAGCGTAGACTAGCGAAATCTTAAAAATAAATATAAATATAAAATACAGACTTTTAATAAAACTTAAAATTAAATTCAGCTCCATTAATAAAATGAAAAAAAATAAATAAAAAAAAATATAAAAACTATAAAAATTTAATAAATAAATAATATAAAAAAAAAATTTAAATTATTTATTAAAGTAAATAAAAATAGAAAAATATATATATAAATAAATATATAATATATATATATATATATATATATATATTTATATATATTTATATATTTTTTTATTCATTTTTAAATTAAATTATTTCTCATAGCCTTTAAATCAAACAATTAACCTAATACTTTTTATTAAGCCTTTTAGAATTCAAATTGATGATTTTTCTCAGCTTCTAATCCTAAATATCTTTCTCCTCTTTATCCTTCCTCATTTTTAAAATTTCCTTTTGCATACAAAGGATTTTATGAATGATTTATATTAAAATCAGTACATTTTTCATATATAAAATTCGAATAATTACAATCTTATAAATTTAATTTTTACTTATTATTTTTTTAATTTTATTTTTATAAATATAATTATTATTTTTAATTTTAAAAAAAGAAATCTTTTTAATCCACATGTTAATCTGCTTTGCCTTCTTTTTCTTCATTTGTATATTTTAATTTCGGTAACTAAGAATGGTGTTTATTATGAGAAGTCTTATAAAAAACAACAGACCGTGTTTTTGACATAGAAGTAGATACCTATCTATTATTATATAAGTTTTTTTTATTTAAACTTTCTATAAGTAATTAGTTTATAGTATTTTCTTGATTTAAATTTTTCTCGAGCACATCTATATTTGCACTAGAAATATATTCAGAGACGTTGTCAAGATTTTTTTATGCGTTTTTTTAATTATTTTAAATTTATGTAAATATATATTATTTAGATTTTTCATTTTTCAAAATAATGTTTATTACTGTACTTTTATTAAACATTACGAGTTTTCCTCCAAAATTCGATTCGCAAATAACTGAATATAATCTAGTATTTTTCTTGTTTTTATTTTTTAAATTAATAACTCTTCTTATCCAAATATATCCATTTTTTGTAATAATTCAAGCTTTAAATTTTTCATTGTTTAATAATTTTATATTTTTTCACTTTTTTAATCTTTTTCGCGAAATTTAATATCATAAAATTTACGAATTCTAACTTAATTATAATGTTTAGATAACTATATATATATGTAAATATATATGTATATATTTATAAAAATATATATAAATATTTATATATATTTTTATATATATATATATAAATATATATATATCTTTATATATATATCTATATAATTTTTTTTAGCTTTTTTATATTACTCTAAATTCACCTTCTCTTATTATATACATATATTTAGCTGTTTCTCCTTCTAAAAAGGCAGGTTATTTATTTATACAATTTTAATAAAATGATACCTAATAAAGAATTCTTAAATCATCTTCATTCCAAGACCAAAAAATAGGTAATTATCTTAAAAAATTTAATGTAAAAGATAATTTTAAAAGACATTATTATGATAAATAAGATTAAAATATCTACTTTTCTATACTTAGGCATAATGTTTTTTCTTAAAAACAAACAAACGAAAGTAAACTTTTTTAATTATTAATTAAGGCTATATCATTAAAATATTCATTAATATTAAGAACCTTAAGTAAAACAAATTAATCGCTTTTACAAAGTCTATTTTTTTATTTAGGTTTAGTATATATACCTACTTATCCTCTTAAAATAATAAAAAATTAATTAACATAATCATCTAATAATAAAAAATATAAATAAATATATTACTATATGTATATAATATATATTTATATATATATATATATATAAATATATATATCATTTAATACTTATATTTGTTATTATTTAATCTTAATTAAATTCTATTAATTTTAAATTTGAATAAAATCTATCTTATTATATTGATGCTTCGTTTATTAACGATATATTTTAACAAATATTCTTTATCTTTTGGACTTATTAATAAATAATATTGTTATTTATAAGATTAACTAATTCCTTTTTATTTTTATATTTTTAATTTGATTATTTTTACTTCTATATGCTAAAACTACATTTTATAAAATTAAGTTAAAATATATTTTTATTGAAGTTTTATTTTTTTAAATTAATAAATATATTTTTTAAATAATAACAATTAATTAATTTTGAATAAAAAAATGAATATTATTTTTTAAATCAATTATATAATATTTATCAATAAAATAATATATATATAAAGAATAATAATTTATTTTTTAAAAATAAATTAATATTATATATAAATTAATTATTATTTTATATATATAAATATATTTTTTTTAATTTATATATAACATTTTATTAATTTTGTATTTCATAAAAAAATTTTAATAAAAATTAAAAAAAAAATATATATTTATATATATATATATATATATTTAATAAAAAAATAAAATTAAATATATTAATATTATATATAATTTTAGTTAAAATTTAATCTATTATTAAAATAAAAATAATTATAATATATAAATTAATTTTTATTGAAACATATAAATTATAATAATTAATATATTTTTATCTATAATATAATAATATATATATATTTTTTTTAAATATATAATTTAAATATATATATATATTTATATTTTTTTTAAGATAAAATAAATTAATTTATTAATATTTAAATTTAATAAATAATTTATTTTTTCAAGATATTATTTTTTTACATTTTTTTGTTTAATTTTCTAATTAAAATTTATAATTCTTATAATTTTATCAAATCTTTAATTTAAATTAAATAATTAGTTTTAAATTTTTATATAATTATAGTTATATCATTCTTTTTCTTCAATTTTTATTTTATATTTTTAATATTAATAATATATTTTTATTTAGTATAAAATAAATTTAAAATTTCTTTTATTAAAAAAATAAATAAATTTAAATTATTATTTTTTATATATTTAGTTTTTTATAATTTTTTATTTAATAAATAATGTTTATTTTAATATATAAATTTTTTTAAAATTAATAAATAAATATGCATTAACATATATTTATTTTTATATTTTTCTATATTTTTGTATTTTAAATTAAATAATTCAAATTCATTTAAAAAATAATGTTTTTGCTTAATTATATAAACTTTTATATTTATTTAAATCATTAAATAGTTATTTTTCATGATTATTAAATTAATTAATTTTTAAAATTTAATGTTAAAATAAGATATTATTTGAATTAAATTCAAGCGATTTATTATAATTTTTTTCTTAAAACTTTCACTTTAAGAAACTGATTTTGTATAACTTCGTGAAAAAAGTATTTTTTTTTTATTTAATCAAGTTTTTATTTTAATGAATTTTTATTTTCTTAATAAATTCTGCAAAAAAAATGAAAATTATTTACATTTTCTATAATTTATTATTAAAATCCTTTCAAATTATTAATTAAAATCTACAATTAAACATTTTACTCGAAAAAAAATTCCTCTTTTAATAATTCTTCATTTAAAGAATTCTCTCCCGTATTTAATTTATTCATTTAAATATATTAATTTAAAGATTCTATTTATTTTTATAATTATTCATTTTCTTCCTTATTATCTCTCAATATTTTATTTTCTATTTCTTATATATAATTGATTGACTATATTTATTTTTCATATAAACATTTATATATATCATCAAATATCTATTAAATTAAGTTTTTATTATTTTATTCATTTATTTGAATTTCTTCTATTTTCTATATATTTTATTTTAATTTAGATTATTTTTTTGCTAAAGTATAAAAAGCTTAATTCTAATGAATAATTTCATGATTTTTATGATTATTAATGCATTTTACACATAAATTAAACTAACAACAATTAGTACAAAAATAATATATTTTTTCAAAAGTATGGATATTGCATTTTTTTAATATTTTAAAAGGATTTTCTGAATTAGTATTTTATTTTTTTTAATCAAAAAAATTAATTTCCTTTTATTCCTCAAAAAAATTGCTTTCTTTACTTTTTTTTTATCAAATAAACTATTTTTTTCATATCCAAAAAAATTATTTTTTTCTTTTTCGAAAAAATTATTTTCTTCTTTTTAAAAATTTCCATTTTTTTATTCTTCTAAAAGATCTTTTTTAAATTCTTCTTTTAAAAATATTTCACTTATTCTATTATTTTAAAAAACTTTTTTTTTCGATTTAAAAAGTTAACTTTATTATCATTTAAAAAGCTCTTTTTTTTTCGTTTAAAAAGCAATCTTTTATATTTTAATCTTATTAGTTAAAAAAGCTATCTTATTTAATTTCAATTAAAGAATTTTCTTCATCATTTTAAAAATAATTATTTTAAATGAAATTTTATTATAATTATTAATCTAAATTTTATTTAATTTAAATATTTTTTTTTATAAATTATTCATTTTTTTAAATATTTTCTATCTAATTTTATTTTTAAAAACATGATTTTTATTATGCTTTAGAATTTGAATTTGAATTTTCTATTGTTTCTTGATTTTCATCTTAATAATTTTATTCTGAGCAATTTTCGAAGTCATCAAAATTTATTGTATTATTATTATTTTATTCCATTTTATAAATTCTTTATTTAATTTTAATTATATATTTATAAAATTATTGTAACAAAATATAAATTAAAATATTATTAAATATTTTATTATTTTTTTTTAAAACAAAAAATAAAAAGTTATTTTTTTTTTTCAGAATAATATAAATATACAAATTTTTATAAAAAAAAATATGGTTAAAAAAGGAAAAAAGGAGGAAAAAAAAAGGAAAGAAAAATAAGGAAAAGCTCCCAAAGAATATGATCCTCCTCTATATGATTTGCCAGAATATTAAGATCCAGATATAGTGACACCTAAAGTAAATTTAATTATAAAACTTGCTAACCCTATAAATGAAGTTTTAACGTTAAAATTACACTAAGTGCCTATAACTACAAGATTAGAATATATTAAATAGAAAATTTGCGAAATGCATTAAGGAGCTATTAATCATATAAAAATTTGTAGAGATAGGTACAGCCCAGAAGAGACTTTAGATAATAATAAGACTTTATAATAATGTGGTATTGTTTAAGAAGACGAAATTAGACTTTTTTACGATTTTAAACCTGTAGTAAATCCTTTACTTGTATGAATATAATTTATTTTATATATATTTATGTTTAAATTTTTGTTTGTTTGAAAAAAAAAAAATACAAGATTAATAATAAAAAATGTATATAGTGATTATATTTTTTTAAAAAAGATAATTAATTAATTTTTATTTAATAAAAAAAAAACAAATAATAAAAAAAAAAAAAAATTAAAAAAAAAAATATAAGAAATAAATATTTTATATATCTATTTTTATTTTTTTCAAAAATATATCAATATATAAAATATATATTTATTTTAATTAGATTGAAAAAAATATATATATATATTTATGTATAATAATATGTAAGTATTATAAAATATAATAAAATTAAGAAAAAAATTTATGGAAAACTAATATTCAATTAATAGAATTACTTTATATTCTATGTATTTTAAAATATTTAATATATTGTAAAATTTTATTTTATTTAAAATAATAATCAATTTTTACGAATTAAAATATATTTTATTTATTTCATATAAAATAAAATAATTTAAATTAAAATAAAATAAAAAAAATAGTTAAAAAATTTATTAAAAAAAATAATTAATCAATTAAACATATTAAAAATATAAAAAATATATATAAATTATTTATTTATATATATATAAATGTATTTTTAATACATATTTTTATATAAATTTATATTTAATAATTAAATAATAACACAAAAGACTTTTCATTGAAATTTTTAGTTTATGAAATATATATTACATATATATATTAAATAATTTAAAATTAACATTTATTTTTAAAATGAATTTTTTTATTATTGTTTTTAGTTAAATTAATCGGATATTTTTTTTTTCATGCTATGTTTTAGGCAAATCATAATATAAATATACATATACCAAAAACATAATACATTTTTAAGTTTTATATTATTTTTAATTACTATTTGCATATTTTTTGCAAATATATTTTTTATTCTTTTTAATTTATATATAAATCTGGAAATATTTTAATTTAATAAATTTATATTAATAATAACTTTATTATTTTTTAAATATTGAAATGTGAGAAATAATTAAAGAAATAATAATTTATATAATGGAATGGAATATTAGCTTTATAATTGACAAAATATTATATAAAATAAGACAAAGACGGATGGTAATTAGAAAAATACTTAGTAGGAAATTATGAATTGAAAAAGCTGTATTAACATATAGATAAAACTGTTGGAAGTTATTTATGCGGTTATAGATATTGCGATTTTTTTATTATTATATTAATAAAAAGGAATCCCTGTTTTTTTAAAGAATTTTATTAATTTTTTTTAAAAAAAATAAATATATTTGAGATTTATATATACAACTTTAATTTATTATATATATAAATTTAATATATATTAATTATTACATAATTAAAATTAAAGATTTCGTATATTTATTTAATAATAAATATATTATAAAAATAATAATAAATCAAAAATAACAAAAAAAAAATAATATTAATCTATTTTATTATATATTATTATTTTTTCCTTAATATTAATTTTAAGAAATATTTAATAAAAAATATATGTATTTAAGATAATTTTATTATGTCTATAAATATTAAAAAAAAAAAAAGTTATTTACTATTTCTATTAATATATATAGGTATAAAAATTAATTATATTATTTTTATTTTTAATGTTTATTAATATAAAATATTTGTTTAAAAATAAATTCTTTTTTTAAAATATTTATATCTTTTCAATATATTTATATAAAGCATAAAAAAAAATTTTTGTATAATTAATTTATTTAAAAATCTAATAAATAAAATGCAATATAACTTAAAATTTATTTTTATTTTTAGTTATATGTTAAAAAAATAAATAAAATATTATAATTATTTTAATATTTAATTCTAAAATTAATAAATAATATAAATAAATATATAAAAATATATAAATACATATATATATATATATATATATATTTATTTATTATCTTTATTTTTTTATTTATATATTAAGTAGGATTATTTTGCAATTTTTTTTAAAGGATATATATTTTTTAATATTATTTATATTTATAAGATATTATATTTTAGTCATTATTAACTTAACAAAATATTTTTATTTAAATACATTAAAAATAATATTAATTTAAAATAAAAAATTATTATTTTTTATATAAAATAATATATACACTGTTATTTCATATAATATTTTAGATTTTTTAATATATTATATTAAAAATGTATTTATTTAAATAATTATTAAATACTTTAAAAAAAATTTTCAATACAATAATAAAAATTATTATTATTAAATAATCTTTTTTATAACTATTTCCAAACTTATGTTTGAAATACAAATTATATTTATCCTTTTTTTTTAAATCAATAATAAGTGAATAAAATTATAAAATATATACATGTATAAAAAATAATTATAATAAATAAAACTACCTGCACTATAATAAAAATAATAATACAGAATATAAGGTTATAATAATAATAATTAATTAAAAAAAACTACAATATAAAGGTAAAATATCTTTAATTTTGTAAATACACGTCATTATAAAATAAATTATATTATAAATCCATTAAAAATAAAATAAATAAAAATTAAAAAAAAAAAAAAAAAAAAAAAATAAGAAAAAAAAAAAAAATGTAATAAAACTAATAAAAAGTAAGTTTAAACTTCAACTGTACAGGCTTAAACGGAAGTGACGGTTCTTTCACTTCCTATTTAAAAATATACATAAACGAAAACAAAGGCGAATTCTAGTTCCTTGGTCAAACAGACGTAATGAAAAGAGATCCTCATCCGAAATTCGCAAAAATATTCTATACCCTTTTTTAGCTTACAAAAATATAAAACATCAGAATAGAAGTATGGGAAGTCCACACTATTGGAAAAGACACTCTTTACGGTCAAGTAAACACTACTCTTGTTGATATTATAATCGATCTTACAAATAACTTCACATTAAGCGTCGTTTGTCCTAATAAGATAGATAAAACTGGTTAAATCCACATGAGAGCAGGAAACGTAGGTACAAACTGTGTCTAATGGACCTGGGCAGGCCGTAAATTGAAAAATATGGATACATTTTCCAAAAGCGATCCTTTCCTATAATTCTTCTACTTAAATGATAATGGAGAAAAAATTTTCGTAGGCCAAACAGAAACAATAATGGATAATAATGAGCCTGTTTGGAAACCTTTCGAAATGTCCTTAAGTACACTTTGTATGAGTGATTTAAATAGAAAATTCTAAATAGATGTCAGAGATTGGGAATAATCCGAAAACTATAAAACTATAGGTTCAGTAAAGACTACAATAAATGAATTATTAGAAAAATAAGGAGCCCAATTAGAAATTATAGATAGTAAAAACTCATTTGGGGGCCATTTAAGTTGCACGCACGTAACAGTCTCAAAGCCTTGTTTTGTAGATTATATAATGGGTGGTTAATAAATTAATGTTATTGCAAATATAGACTTTACTGCTTCTAATGGAGAATATTCAGACCCTAATTCATTACACTGTTAAGATCTAAAGAAAAACTAATACTTAATTACTTTGAAGGCTATTACTAATATTCTCTTGGCTTTCGATTATGACAAAAGAATCGAATTGTTCGGTTTCGGAGGTGTACCTTAATATCCCAATTTCAAAAGTTATGATACTGATCATTGCTTTCCTTTAACTGGAGATCATAAAAATCCATCCGTTTTGGGATTAGATGGTATTTTAAATGTGTATTAAGAATCTTTAAAAAACGTAACTTTATGCGGACCAACCCTTTTCGGACCTTCTTTGAAAAAAGGTATGGAAATAGCCAAATAAAATGCCTAAAAAAACATTTATACTATATAATTAATCCTCACTGATGGTGTAATTGACGACTTCGAAGAATCTTAAAGATTATTATCTATGGGAGGTTCTCTACCCTGGTCAGTAATAATAGTTGGTGTTGGAAACGACAGATTCGAATCTATGAAAGCTTTAGATGGGCATGATGTTAAAACTTAAGCTGATGGAGTTTAATTAAAAAGAGATATTTGTTAATTTGTTAAATTCTAAGATTACTAAAATGATCATCAAGAACTCGTATAGTAGGTTTTGGCAGAAATTCCTAACTAATTCCAAAGCTATAAATTAGCTAAAAAAGAATATGTTATTACAGCTAAACCAGTCCATACTGCTATTTCTTCAGATGTTAAAGTTGTAGCTAATTAAGTAGGAGGATATTAAGGTAATGCATATAGTCATTGTACTTAAAGTAATTATGTTTGTGGATCTAGTTATTCTACTAATACTGTTGTTAAAACAACTATTACTACTACTAAGGTTACTTATAAAGTAGAATAAGCAGAATGAGTCAATATTTTTTTTTACATTATTTAAATTGATTTATTTATAAATATTTTAATCTTATTCGTATTTATTAATTAAAAAAAATTAAGCTTATAATTTTTTTGTGAATGAATTATTTAAATATATTATTATTTTAAAAACTATTTTATATTTTTTATTGAAATTTAAAAACTTAAAAATAAAAGAAAATAAATTAAAATAATTAACAATATTAATACTTTAAGAAAAAAAAAAGACTTATTAACAGTAATTATTAAATATTTATATTAAAAAAAATTAAAAATTAAAATTTAAATAGATTTAAAAAAAAAAAAAAATATTTCTAAATAATTATATAAATTAAAATAAACTTATTAATAATATTTTAATAAAAAAAATATTAAGAGGTTCCATAGTATAGTGGTTAGTACTGGGGACTTTAAATCCCTTGACCTGGGTTCGAATCCCAGTGGGACCTGTTATTTTTTTTAAAAATAATTTTATAAAAAAAATATATAATAATTTTATTATTATATAAATAAAACATTCTAAATAAAATAATTTATAAATTTATATATTTATTTAATTAATATATTTATATAACAAAACAAAAATAAAAATAAATAAATAAAAAATTAAATTATTTAGATAAAAGATATAAATTAAATAAATATATATATATATATATATATATATATTATTTAATTATATATTCATAAATAAATAAAAAAAATAAAAAAAATATAATATTTTTATTTTCATTCTCATTTTTTTTATATTTTTTTATTTTTTTTAATATGTTTTTTTTTATTCTTAAGTTTTATATATTATTATTATTAATTTTTTTTCAAACTTTTTTAAATAATCTCTATTATATTTATTGTTTTATATATTTTTTTATACTTATTAATTTAAAATTTATCTATATAATAAAAATTAGAAATATTATTAATTCTTTCTAATTAATTTTATTATAAATTTAAAAATATAAAAAATATAATATAATATATATAAGATTAATTTTATAATTTTTTTTTTATTACTAATAAATGAAATAAGAATAATTTATTTATTTAATTGAAGAAATATGTATATCTTTATAAATATCATAAAACTCTATTTCTTAAATAATTCATTATTATTAATTACTTTCTAGTCATCCAACAAATAAATTTAAATCAGAAGTTTTTTTTTAATTTAATCATAAAATAATTTAAATAATAAATTATCTATTATTAATATTTTTAGATTATAATAGGTGCTTGCATATTTTTAGTTTCAAAAACATGCGAAGAGCATAGAAAAATTAGGGGTATAATTTCTCAAAACAAAAAAAATATAACCTATTTTTTTTTAAATTAAAAAAAAAAAGATATCATAAACATGTGTTTTGTTATAACAAAAATATATAAAACAGCAAATTTATTAAGATAAAAAGAAGAAAATGGAAACGACAAATAATAAAGTGTTGATATTTAATATATAAAATTAAGCTTTTTAAAAGATTATACATAGAAATAAATATGTGAAGAATTTGCTCCATCATTTAATTTAGAAAAAGTAAAATTAAAAATAATCTTTTTTTATGAATAAAAGTTAAAAATAAACAAAATATATAATTTTATGAGTATTCATAAATCAAAAATGAAATACTATAATGCGAATAATATTTATTAAGACTTATTAATTATTAAATTTCACAATAAAATCATATGTATTCGGAAATACTTATAATTTATGGATAAATATTTGAATGTAAAAAAAAAAAAAATAGTTTTTTTAATTTTATTTTATTTTTTTAAGTTGATAAAGATATTATTTAGTATTGTTTAAATATATGTAATGATACATAATATTTATGTTTAAAATAATTTTCTGAATCTGAACTTGCTAAATGTTGTTTATATTTAGGATTAGATTTGATAAAATATTAATAAGAATAATAAGATAAAAAAATTGAATTGGATAATAAGTTTTTTGATTTTTAATGGTGGAACGATTTTATGCTAATAAGCAAATAAACATTATTAAGTATTTATTTTTTAATATAATAAAGATATTTTTTTTTTTTTATAATTAGGCTTTTCTGAAATAATATTATAATACTATGATGAAACAAATTAATGATAAATTAATATATTATTTTATATAAATAAAATTTTATAAATAAATATTAAAATTTTTGTAAGATATTCATTTAATAATATAATATTTTTTATTTTTTTAAATGTTTATATTTTATATTTTAATAAAAAAAAAATAATATATTTAAAAGAAATCTATATATTTTTTTAAAGATTTTAATAAAAATAAGTAATATAAAAATAAATAAAATAAAATAATAAGTAAAAAAAATTGAATTAAATAAAAAGTAAATTAGAAAAAATTAAAAAATGGTATTTTTGTTAATAATAAGAATAAAATTTACTTATACATTAAATTAATTAAAAAAAAATATAAAATAAAATTATCTTTTAATATTATTTATTTTCTAAGAAATAAAAATATATTACTAATTACTTTAAGATTTTTATACTAATTAAAAAAAGTTAAATATATTTTATAAATAATTATGTTAATATAAAAATATAATATATAAATATATATTATAAATAATATATAAATATATATTATAAATAATATATAAAAATATTAAAAAATTAATAAAATATGTAATATTATATAATATAAATTAATTTATATTATTTTTTTTGTAAATTTTTTAAATAATATATATATATTTAAATTAAAGAATAAAATTATTTAATCTAAATAAAAAAAATTAATTATTAATGAAATAAAAATAAGAAAAAAAAACAAAATGAAAATAAATTAATTTTATAAATTTTCAAACATAAAAAAAAAATTATAAAACAATAAAATATAAAAAAATATTTAATATTTTATAATATAAAAGAAATTTCAAGATTAATTATATGATTAAAAAAATATAAAATATTATTGATAATCATATTTGAGTGCGTAAATTAATTTAAATAAAAAATATTTAAAGTTTGTAAAATTAAATATATAAATTAGATAAATAATAAGTATAGAAATAAAATATTATATATAAAATTTAATAAATATGTATATAAAATTATATATAATTTATATATATTGTTAAATATTTATT